TCTCTTCATTCTTCTCAAGCTGTTTCCCCAGCCATCCTAAAAACCTCTCCAGCTCTGTCAGGGACTACAGCATGCATCTCTCCGAGGTCCTGGAAGAACAGACAGTGACTGCAGGTAGCTCCCTTGGGGGAGGACAAGAAAGTCAGAGTCACAGACTGTTGTGTGGGCCATGTCTAGCAGAGTAGTGAGTGATTTTCAGCGGAGACACTTAAGTCCCAGGTGCACATCTACCGAAGGTCCTCGGTGTGCATGATCTAGTCACTCTAAGTCTAGATGATCTTTGTTAACACTGCCCCAAACCTGGACAGGCAAGGCAGTCAGTCACATCTGTTAAACTCTGCCCAACAATGAGGGAGGTGCTGAGGATAAGGGATTAGAGCTGCCAACTTCAGAACAAACTCATTCTCAGTTCCAAAGGCTGCTAGTTTTGGGGGTCTTTCTCCCTCCCTCCTTTCCCACTTGATATCTCTCCAGATATCAGCAGTGACCACCACCATTAGGTAAAGGGGAGAGAGCCAATTAGTGAGAGGATTAATTACTCTGAGGCAGGCGCCCCGTTTGTCTTCCTTACGGGTGTGAGTGTGTGCTCACACAGAGGCACACGGGCACGCACCCAAATACACATTGTTGTCACGCTGTCTTAGATGTTTTATTTATTTGTTGGATTCCTGCCCAGTGCTGCTCACAGGCTTTCCATAGGCGTTAAGTCTCCCACCAGACTCCAACCTCCTTTCCTCCGGCCCAGGAATGTGCCTGTCACATGCACAGCCCACTTAGGTCCCAGTGGAAGACCCTGGTTGGAAGCTTCAGGACTCTTCAGCTTCTAGTTTCTCTCCACTAGCTTTTTTTTTCCCCCACACTGTATTATTCTGTAGCTCAGGCTTGCCTGGACATCTCTGAGTAGCAACCTTGAACTCAAGTACTGGGATTACAGCAGCGAACCACGACAAAGGGTATTTTTTTCCCCTTTCTTTGCTTCGTTCTTCCATGTGTTTCTCTGGACACATCTTCCCTCCCTTTACAGCCTCTTGCTTTTGGGTCTCTTCTTCACGCCTTTTCTATTCACTTCTGTCTCCTTCAACGCAACCTCTCTCTTCCATGGTGACTACCATTGCTCAGCTGGACTGACTGGGATCATCAGCATGCTCCACCTCGCTGCTGCTCTAACCATCCTCCCCATGCTCAGAGTCCCCCCAACCCTCATGCGAAGTCTGGATTGTTTATCTAGGCCAGGTGCATGTCATAATATTCGGCAGGATACTGCCCTTTCTTGGCTTCACTGTCCCTTCCCTACTACTGCCCAAGCTCGGTTTGGAAAATGCCTCCGGGGGCAAAGAGCACTCTGGAACATGGTTGCAAGGCCCACCTTTCCCAACTTCTCACCTTCAGTAATGCAGTGATAGGGGCAGGTACCCTTGCTTGGATTGGGGTTCCCGTCTGGGAAAGTGTAGAGAATAACTCACTTACTATGCTGTTCAGGGGAGACAACGATATAAACTAGAAAGAACTTCATATTAAGAGCCCAAACCTTGAGAGAGGGGAAGGGAAAGAAGAGGGTACTGGATCAGAGAGACTCTAGCAGAGCAGTTTTCCGTGTTGCATAAGCTGGATCTTCACAGGTCTGTGCGGAGTTTGTGTGGCTTCCAGGTGGCCGGGGTCCAGGGTGCATCTAGCTGGCTCCTTCCTTCCTCCCTACTAGACCTATGCTGCTGAATATTCGGGGTTTTTGTGGCTGGCAGCCCTAGGAGACTACTGTGGCATGGCTTCCTCTCCCTCTTCTGGGGACCTGGTCTGGACTAGAGGAAGGAAGTGGCCGCTTTAGGAATTAAATAGCAACCCACAGTGATAAGAAAGAACTGTCCCTGGTTGGTGGGAAACACTCCGGGCTGGACTAGGGGGTGTGGAGGATATGGGTTCAAGGACTCTGGACCCAAGAGGCAAGGGAGATCGGGTGTATGAGCCGGGAAGGCTGGTTAGTCCCAGTTCTGAGACAGGGTCTCTCCCTCCATTCGAACTGCTTTTGAGAAGCTTCTAAGAAGACAAATCTCGACTATGGAAGGCCGTCTGGGCCCTCTGGGACCTTTCCCGACGGTGCCTTGGGAGTAGGGTGGAGGAGAATGATGGCCAGGTGTCCAAATTGAATCTCAGGACACTCGCCGGGATATAAGTGACTGAGTGTCTATGTGAATTTGAGGTATGGAGAGTAGTAAAATGGGTGTATTTGAAATCGTGGACAGTGCGGTGGTGTAGGTGAGGGTGGAAGGTTGGGGATCTTCAGCGGTCATTTATACCTACACAGAGCTGAATTCGATGGATTCAGAGACGGCGGGTTTAGAAAGCTGGGTCCGTTTTCTCTCCTTGTCTCCACTACTGATTACATTTCAAAATAAGAGCTCAATGGAAACGGTGGAGGGGGAAAAAAAAAACATTAGTCTTGTGTGCTGTCACCGCCGAAGTGTTAAACATGGATTTTAGACAGAATCAAGGAACCAAGATACATGCCTTGCCTTGCCTTGCTCCCGCTCGCTCGTTGACATACACACATCCCAGAAGCCGGGATTGGCTCGGCGACCGGTTTTCTTCACCATCTGAACCCGGAGACATGCAGAACACAACACCCTAGAACCAGTGTCCTGTCTTCGCCCAACTCCCATCTTCTAAAGGGGCCTTCTCTCCCATTTCTTGGTCTCAAAGTCATTACACCCCCAAATCAGTAAAAACCTCTCCCCGACTACAGAAGGAAGATGCAAGTCGGAAAAGGCGGGCAACGGAGTCCAGTGGCACCCTACAGTTACCCGAGACAGCAATTTCTCAGTTGCCCCTCCCGGGCCCCTCTGCTTTGCACTGAAATAGCCCAGCTGCGCCGAGAGTGAGCCACCAGGGACCCGGGCGACTACAGGCTCCTGAGAGGGGCGGTTGAGTCCAGGGCGATAGCAGCTAGCTCTGAAACAGCTGAGGGTGGAGAGAGCCTGGGGACCGATGGCCCCTTCCTTTGGAAAGCCGCTTGGGAGTCGGGGTAATAATAGAGGATCCGGCGCTTCGCCGCACTTGGAACGTCTGGGGGTACCAAAATTCTTGATACTTGTTCTACGAAGTGTCGGGTCCGCAGGAAGACGCCCAGTCAGAACCCGAACCCGAAGAGCCCTCCCAATAGGTGGGAGAGCCGCCTTCTAACCCCCACTCAGTCCTGAGTCTAAGCCTAGAAAAAAAAACAGGAGAGGGGCTGTTGCGTGAGAGCTTGGCTGCGCTACTTGAGTCCACAGCTGCTCCACGCGAGTGTGGAAGTGGACAAGGGTAGCGAGAATGCTTTGGAAGTCTGACACTCGGGGCGCGGCGGGGGAGGGGGGGTCGCAGAGGAATCCTGTGAGGCAGGCCTTGGTGGTTGGTTCTACAAAGCAACTATCATGCCGGCGGGAAGGCAGAGCTACTGAAGAACTGAAGAGCTTCAGGGTTGCCGGGAGGTGCAAGAGAAAGCAGAAAGGGGGCGTTGGCACAGCTCTAAAAACTAACAATGCCATCCAACATAAGCCAGGTTCGGGGCAGCTTCTCTTTTCGCTGGAAGAGGGTATTCTGTTTGTGGACCCGAATTCACTGCCAGTCCAACTGCGTTTCGGCGCACTTTTCTCCTAATTTAGACCTGTGGAAGATCTGCCAGGTGCATAGATGAAGTAACTCAAAAGGCAGATTCTGAAATATCATCTAGATATGGCTGCAGGGACACCCTTACTTCCCTCGAAATTAGAGTAATGCACCTTCCTAGCATCTCCCCCAAACAGGGGGCAAAAGTAACACCTCTTTGAGACAAATTTGGGTTAAGCTTAGAAAAAATAAATCAGTCGCTACAGTTAACTTGAGTGTTACTGGAAACTAGAATCATTAAAAGGGCCAGCATCTGACTCCCACAACTAGGCAGATCCGCCCCTCCCCTCGGTAGACGGTGACCAGGAGTTTATAACGCAGACAAAATTAGGAAAGTGTATTAACCCTAAGGAGTGTACTCTGGTAGGTATGGTTCGCTGATGTCTGAAGAAACGAACTAGCTCAAGCCTGGAAAAAGGAAGGTCTGGGAGCCAGGCTACACTGCCAGTGCGCTGCACGCCTCCCTCCCCTGCAGCCGAGGTGCTGTCCCCCGCTGCAACCACCTCCCCCAGCCGCGAGAGTCCCGCGGTTTCCCACCTAGTCATTTGTTTTTGTTTGTAAAAGGTGTCTCCGGATCACAATTTTCTCACAACTTCTCGCCAGAGTTGCAACTCCTCACCCGAAGCTCTTCCCCACCCACTCCTTCTCGCGTCCTGGCGCCGCGCCTCCGGTTTCCCCGCCCCCATCAGGAAACCGCCCGAATCAACTTTCCAAGAGAGCACAGCGGGAGATCGACACTCGTGTCTCCCAGACACCCTGCCGGGTGGACTTTGGTTGGACTGGGGGAGGAGGCACCAAGAGACGGGGGGGGGGGGGGTAGATTAAGCTGCCAAGCGCCCCCTACCTCTCCAAAGACTCGAACTGTGCCGGGGGCAATTTCCAGGCCAAAGGAGCAAGAAGAGGAGGGCTGTTGACACCTACTGAATTGCAGAGCCAGTGTACCTGGACCTCCCAAGCTACAAGACCCAGTTACACTCTAATCCCAACCAGGCTTTCTCTGCCCCACCCCCACCCTCCCACGGAACTCTGGCCTCCTCCGCACCTTCTTTCATTCCCTGACACTGAAACCGACGCCTTACCAAACCTGGAAGGGGCCAGGACATCTCGCTGCCATCGCCGGTACCGCGCGGGGCTACCGCCACTGATCCTCTAAACGCGGTCTCCCCGCACTCTCCCCGGCCGGGGGGGAAAATGCAGAATGGTTTACAGAGGGACCGCGAGGCGCTGATTGGTCGCAGTTCGCCGTGACGTCGGCGGGCGCTGCATTAAGGCGAGGGGGCTTCCAGGGCTCAGCCAACAGCCAGGAACAGTGACCGAGCCGCTGGAGCTGGGAGAGACGCGCCGAAGACTGAGCCAGAAGACCAGAGACCTAGGGACGCGCGCTGGGAGAGAGCCAACAAGAAACCCGCGGACCGGACAGCGATACCGGCGAGCCGCACCGAACTGTTCCAGCTGCTGGCCTTCCGTAGCCGCTGCACCAGGACATTACTCTAAAGCTCTCCAAGGCGCCCCCTCCCCTTGGCTCCTCCCTTTGAACCAGAAAAAGAAAAAGAGAGGAAAAAAGAAAGGAAGGATACTAGAAAGGAAAGCCAGATTTGCCACCACAACAAAAGGGGGGAGGGAAAAAAATCGAGAGACTGTGGGGTTGAAACGCAAGCCGCGGGAGCGTGGGCCGAGCGATGCGGGGCTGCGCGCCCAAGCGGCCGCGAGTTGTGACTGAAGCCAGGATGCGCGGCCAGGCACGGTGAAGAGCCAGATCACATTGCCTTCCCGAAAGAGTCCAGGCGCGGGGAGGGCCGCTGCGAGGACACGGAAGGCCGCCTGGCAGGCCAACGGCCGAGGTGACAGGGCTGGGGCGGTGGGGAGCGAGCGAGTGCGCCCGGCTGCGTCCGCCCGAAGTTGTCCCTTTTCATTTTTGACTGGCAAAAACACTCTCCAAAGGGGGGTGGGGACCTAAGCATCAACTACAATCAACAAATCTACCCAACCTGCCCTCTCTCCCATCCCTTGGTCTGCCCTCGACCCCTTCCCAGGCCCAGCGCGGTCGCCCAGACTGTCCCGACTCTCTGCAAGAAGCCGACAACGTAGGATCCAAAGCGTTCTACTCCTGTGTTCTTTTCTTTCCGTGTTTTTTTTTTTTAAGGGAAAAACCCGGTGGTGGGCGGTCTGGCACGCACACACAACCTGCCTTCATACTTCGAGAAAAGCAGATGCACTTTGACTTCTGACAGCTCTACCTCAAGCCGGAGAGAACCCAGCGTCGCTTTCTTGAATCCCGAGCTCTTGCTGTCTTTCTTTTAACCGGTTTCAATTTTATTTATTTCCGTCCCGCCCCCTTTCTCGGTGACCTTCACTCCTTCTCCGGCTTTGGGCAGAAGAGCCGCTTTCTTGTCCGCTGGAGACTGATTTTCCTCGCCCGGTGAGCTGAGGTGGCGCTGCTCCAGCCCCGCGGCCCTGGGATTCCCGGGCTGCCCCCTACCAGCCTGGTCTCTCCCCTTTTGATTTGCTGGTGCGGTTTTTTTTGCTTGCCCGACTTGAGCGGGTTTTTTCTTTTTGGAGGCGCTGGGAAGCTCAGGCTGGTTGTCTTCAGGAGTCATCTCCTCGATTCTATTTGCCCCATCGATCGGAGCCTCACCGGACCAAACCAAAGACCATGGTGCACTGTGCGGGCTGCAAAAGGCCCATCCTGGACCGTTTCCTCTTGAACGTGCTGGACAGGGCCTGGCACGTCAAGTGCGTCCAGTGCTGTGAATGTAAATGCAACCTGACCGAGAAGTGCTTCTCCCGGGAAGGCAAGCTCTACTGTAAAAACGACTTCTTCCGGTGAGTACTTTCCTCCCGCGCCTCTGCTGCTCCCTCCCCACGGGCCCTTCCTGGCCGGCTTCGGATCAGAGGTCAGCGTGGCCGCATTAGGAGCTGCCTTTTCTCTCGGGCAGCCAAGTCCCTCTGGCTTCTACCTCTTAGGAAGTTGGGATGCCGAGATATCTGTCCTACTTGGTACTGGAAAGTGTGGTCCGTGTTTGGCTGCAGGTGCCTAGAAAAGAAAGGGTCTGAGCCGACTTCAGCTCAGAAGCCCCTCCACATCATTGGAGAGGTACAGCAGCCTCGGGGTTGCAGCTCCAGCTCGCCTTTCCCGAACCGAAGCTCTCCTGCAACCAACCGCCTTTTCCGGGCCTCCCAGATAGCTGCTCCTTCAAGTTGAGCTCAGAAGCTCCGGCTTTATTCCAGCCACTGACTTTTCCTTCTCCGAGAGGTCTTTTCCAAACTAGAGTCTCGGTGGTCGGGGTGGAAAAAAGCCGCAATAAAGAGCCCGCCCTTGAGGCCAATTCTGTATGCCTGGGGTCTCCCTAAACATTGATTGGCCTATAAGCGTAGACCTGGGAGAACGGTACCGTGCTGGCCTTGGCCCAGTGCCCAGCGCCGGCTCCTCTTCGCGGCCTTTCCAGCCGATTCCCCATCAGGAAGGCCACCTTCTGGCGAACACGCGGCTCATTAGAGCCGGGAAAAATTCTCCTCTGTTTACCATTTTGCTTATATTTTTTAAAACTGATTATTTGCCACAATCAAAGCTGAACTGGGAAGAATGACCTCAAATGTATATTGTATTTTCCACTGGTTTGAAATCCCACACTTTATTCCGCTATTTTGGTTTGTTTTGTGAGGACTGATCAAATCTGGGAAAGAGTTTGAAGCCACCGGGCCTCCTTAGCCCGAAGGACCAGGAAGCGCAGTCCCCAGTGACGATTCGGGACGTGCGGCTCCTGTTTGTAGAGGACCTGTGAAGCTAAGGGAGGTGCGAGCTGCTTTTGTGGAAAGGCTGAGCTTTGGGGCTTCGGCAGACTGCTCGGGTTTTTACTCTACAAGGGCTAGATCCGTGCCGGAGAAGCGCTAGCCCCACCGGCTTGCGGGGCTCTCAGAGCCTGACTAGCGGCTAAGCTCAGCGGGACTCCTGAAGCCCGCTCAACCTGGCCGCGACTCCCGCTAGCGCCAATCTGCCAGGCTTTTGCGCACGAACGTGGCAAATGCCCAGCTACAGCCACCAAGGCTCTCTCAGAGTCAGTGTTTGTTTACTCGGAGCGGGATCGGACTTTGCCAACCCGCGCCTGTGCTCAGGTCTTTTTGTGGTGAAAGCAAGGCAAAGCTAGCAGTATAGAGCGGGACCTTTCTGCGGAGCTCTTAGCTCGAATTTGACTTCTCTGAATCTAATCGGAAAATGTGTGCTCGGTTTCCCTTCTGCCCTTGTAGCCACTTGGAAACCTTTTCTCAGGACACTTTTTTCCCCTGGGGCATGAGGTTAGAGGTTAGGGGCAGTTTGGGCCGTTAACACTGACCGAATGTTTTCCCTCCCTTTTCCCTGATGTCCCGCGATCTCTCCTGCCTCCTCTTATGTTTAATAAATTTTTATATTCATTCTCTCTCCTTCTTCCTCTGGCGGCTTTTATTTCACCCTGTCTGCTGTACTTCTCTCTCATCTCCGCACACCCTACGCAGATGTTTCGGTACCAAATGTGCGGGGTGTGCGCAGGGCATATCTCCAAGCGATCTGGTGCGGAGAGCGCGAAGCAAAGTCTTTCACCTCAACTGCTTCACGTGCATGATGTGTAACAAGCAGCTTTCCACCGGCGAGGAGCTCTACATCATCGACGAGAACAAGTTCGTTTGTAAAGAGGATTACCTGAGTAACAGCAGTGTCGCCAAAGAGAACAGCCTCCACTCTGGTGAGACCAGGATTCCTAACTGGCTAGAGGGTGGGTATCGGGGAGGAAAGAAAGGACCCTGCTCATCACTCCTTTTTCTCTTCCCAGCCACCACAGGTAGTGACCCTAGTTTATCTCCAGATTCCCAAGACCCATCGCAGGACGATGCCAAGGACTCGGAAAGTGCCAACGTGTCAGACAAGGAAGGTGGGAGCAATGAAAATGATGACCAGAACCTAGGTGCCAAGCGCAGAGGACCCCGAACCACCATCAAAGCCAAGCAGTTGGAGACGTTGAAGGCAGCCTTTGCAGCTACACCCAAGCCTACACGCCATATCCGTGAGCAACTGGCCCAGGAGACTGGCCTCAACATGCGGGTCATCCAGGTCAGAACCCTGGTTGGCCACTCTGTTCCCCAAAGGCTCACATGGCCACTAAGGGAACCTAGGCTGAGCCTGGGAGAGCCCAGAGTTTTGGGGGTAGGAGAAGTGAATGGGACTAGGAAAAGGCTGACCTGATACATTGGAATATGAGAAAAAAGCCCCACAGAGGTGACAGTGGCTAATGGGACAAATGGGACGGGAGTGACTCGAGAGTGCGCCATACAGCTGGAGGAAAACACAATGTCCAACAGCACAGTGGCAACAGCTAAAGTCCATCTTTCTGTACACAGCTTATCCCTTTCTTGCCCTTGTTAAGGAGCAGAGAGGTGGCTCTGGGGTCCAGAGTCATTCAGTTCCTCTCGGTTCTGTACAATAAGCTCTCCCTCTATTTCCCCAACCCCAAATTTGTGCGTTTTGAGCCCCAGTTAGAAAACCGCCAGAGCAGAGGCTTGTCCTCCCCAAGGAGGTGGGGTGCCCAGGATTGAAGGAGAGATAGTTTGGTGGGAAGCCGGTTCCGCCTAGATGCAGCCTGATGTAGGATGGGGAGGCTAAGCCTTCTGCAGATAGCTGGGCCACTGCATTGGGAAGATGCTAAACTAGAGTGTGTCTGGGATACCAGGAGTCTGGCCCTGCCTGTACTGTGTGTCTAATCCGAAGTGCCTAGAGGCCAGGTGAGGGTGTGGGTGGATGCGCCTGTCCAAGTGTTAGAAGGGCAGCCTCTGGGAGGTTGTGTGAACCTGTGCTCATGAATATGGGTTTGTGTGCCTGTCACTATTGGAGAGAGGCTATGTCTAAGTATGTTTGGCACATCGAGATTTTGTGTGGGTGTGAAAAGAAGATTGTGGGTTTTGGTGTCACTACCCTTGGGAAACAATCAGCAGAAAGCTTTCTGTATCTCTGTCACTACATGATATGGGGGTAGGGACTAACAAGAGACCCTGAAAGGGAAGCTGTGTATATGACACTATTTTGAAGAGGTCCAGTGTCTATGATCCCTAAGATAATATAATGCTAAGCGTGTGATTGCTGGATATAGTGGGACTACAAAATCAGACAAGGCAGTAATCTGCTCAGCTCCCTTCTTGGGAATCCTGCACACCTACCCTTGGCCTGGTACTATTCATTCAGAGACCGCCACCACACACACACACACACACATTCACACACACCTAGTGGCAGTGGAGGAATGAGTGACTGGGCCCCCGTTGCACACCCGGCTGGCCAGTGGGGTCTCCGGGGTCTCATCCTGTGCCTGTGTACTTCAGGTCTGGTTCCAGAATCGACGTTCCAAGGAGCGGAGGATGAAACAGCTGAGCGCGCTGGGCGCGCGGCGCCACGCCTTTTTCCGCAGTCCCCGCCGGATGCGGCCACTGGTGGACCGCCTGGAGCCCGGCGAACTCATCCCCAACGGCCCCTTCTCCTTTTACGGAGGTGAGTGTGGCCGAGCGGCAAGCGGGCCTAGGCTGAGCCGGCTTCGCTGGAAGCGGGTGGCAGCGCGGGAAGTACCGCTTGCCTTCTGTTGAGGGGTAGGGGCAAAGACCCGGAGCAAGTTAGGGGAGGTGGCTGAAGTCCCAGCTCCGGTGAGAAAAGGGTCCCAGGAAGGGAGAAGCTCTGAGTTTTATGCCAAGTCTCCTCTCCTGCTCTGGTGCCTCTCGAACAGCCAGTTCCCCCGAGCTGCCCTGAGATGCCCGCAGCCAGGTCTTTCCTGCCCTGTGGTCTCACAAGACCCAGGGTTGTGCTTTGACACCTCCTTTCTGGTCGGCAGATTACCAGAGCGAGTACTATGGTCCCGGGGGCAACTACGACTTCTTCCCGCAAGGACCGCCGTCCTCGCAGGCCCAGACGCCAGTGGACCTACCCTTTGTGCCATCATCTGGGCCTTCGGGGACGCCGCTGGGAGGTCTGGACCACCCGCTGCCTGGCCACCACCCTTCCAGCGAGGCACAGCGATTCACCGACATCTTGGCACATCCCCCAGGGGACTCGCCCAGTCCTGAGCCCAGCCTGCCCGGGCCTCTCCACTCCATGTCAGCGGAGGTCTTCGGACCCAGTCCACCCTTCTCATCTCTGTCCGTCAATGGCGGGGCCAGCTACGGGAACCACCTGTCCCATCCTCCTGAAATGAACGAGGCAGCCGTGTGGTAGCGGGGCCTCGTATGGGCCACGGGATCTCGTGGTTGTACAGAGACTACAGAGACGAACTTTTATTTAAGAAAAAAAAATAGGAAAAAAAAACATATAAAAAGCAAGCCTCCTGCTCCTCTTCCTCCAGCCTCGGGGACCATTCTCACTATGGGGGAGACTGGACGGCAAAGGGGGTCCAAAATAGGATCCAAATCCGCCTCACGGTAGAGCTGGGATATCCACACACTGGCTGGCAAAACGCAGAACTGGGGCTCCTGAAGGGGAATTCTCAGCTATCCTCAACCTTCAACCTGAGTCTGGATCCGTGGACAGACTCCACCGGCAGCGGCTCCTCTGGCTAGCTGGAAGACGACTTTGACAGCTGCAGCCTTGAACAGTCCTGGGCAATGCCGGGAGCCTGGGGAGGGAAACCTAGAGGCCCGCTCAGCCGGGTGAGGGAGGAAAAGCTGTCGGGTCTTTCCAGTCAAGAGGGTCCTAGTTCTGGGAGATCTTAGTGTTGTCTCAGAGTTCAGCGACGACAACAAACTCTTAATAGCTTCAGAAACACCGACCTGCTGTGCATCAGGTGGGACTATATATATTTTTTGTCTATCTGGGTTTTTGATTTTTGTTTTTGCCAAAATTTCAAAATTTTAATGTAAAGCTCTCAATTCTTCTACCTTCACAAATCTCTCTCTCTCTCTCTCTCTCTCTCTCTCTCTCTCTCTCTCTCTCTCTCCACACACAACACACACACACACACACACAAAACACACACACACACCCGTCTCTCCACAGAATGGTCTCCAGCCACACCTCTCAGTAAAATGACTTGAACATCACCTCTACAAAAAAAGTACTCTACCTTCACATGAAAGTTTAAAAAAAAAAAGAGAGACTATTGAACTAAAAAACAGTCAACTGTTTACGTATAATGTTAAATTCAGGAGTTCAGTGTTTTACTAATATATCCTGTTTTGAAACCTCTTGTTCAAAAACAAAATGTTTTGAACAATCAACCAAAATTGTTCTTTTTCTTTTCCTGTAGATGTTCTGACAGATTTGCAGGGCTTGCGGCTCACTGTGCTAGTATGTAAAAAGGTGTTGTTTACACGAGGCAAAGGAAAAACATGATATTCCAGACAGTTGCCAAATAGAATAAATTATAGCACAAATACTGTAATGGTGCCTGGCACCAGCAACTTGAGAAAGTGTTAAAAAAAAGTGTTACAAGGTTTAAAAAAACATCTTTGCTAATTTTTAGTCCTGTTGAACATTCATGAAATTGTTAATATGACTTATATAGACCCACACAGGTTTTATTTTTGTGTCTTTAAAATAAAAGTCCAAAATATTTAAATTTTATGGTCAAATATGCAGTCAGCAGCTGCTACTTGTTCCTTTATATATTAAATTTCTCATATGTCTTTTATTGTTCTATAAACCTAAGCTTGTGTGACCTCCAGTGCATATTAGACCATTCACTGTATGAAAGAAAACATGTTGAATAAATTTGTGAGTTTTTAATAAAAATAGAAAACCTGATGTTTAGATAACTGGTGTGGCATCCCATGTTTTCAGCGATTGGAGGGAAGTCCCAAGGGCGCGCTGAGCAGACCCTCAGAAGTCAGTAGGGAGGGAGACAAGACTGGGGTGATGCTTTCACCTTGGCTCTGGCTGAAACCCTTCACCAAGCTCTCTTCTTTGCCTCTCGCTGTTATTAAATACAGATTTGCATTCTGTGGGTTTAACTGATAAAGTGATTTGCTGATAAGTTAATATAGAATTGGAAATGGAAATCAAATCCACAGCTAAAAGAGAGCGAATGATGCGGGTCTGAGATTAGGTGAGAGAGCCTGCACCCCCTTCTCCTCCCTGCACTTGCAAAGCCAGGCTTGGGAATGTCACATACCTGTAAATAGATAGTTAGACCTGGTCTTTTTCAGCTTCAATTCATTTTCCATAGATAATCCTGCTTTCTAATTTGGTGAGTTGAAAGATAACCTAACGTGAATATAAAGTATAACTAGCAATGAAATACTTTAATCCCTTTCACAGAACTGATACGGAATTGTTATTGGATGGTATTTACTACATTTGAAGTTTTCCAAAAGGAAAACTATTTTGTCTGGCATAGGATACGTATTAAGTTTCTGCAGAAGATGAACAAAAATAACTAATATAGAAATCAAATTGCAACTGAGAGTTAAGTTGCCAATAGATATAGGGTCTTGAGAATAGTTCAATCCCATCCAAACCTCCAATAGAAATGGAAGAAATGTGAATGTTTCTCCTATGAAATACTAATGTGTAGGTGTATGAGAGTTTTATTATCAGGGTCCCAGGGTTTCTTTATCATATTGCCTAGATTTCAGTCTGGATCATATCTTATTTTTTTAAATCATTTTTACATTAAATTATATGCAATTTCCAGTACCATTTCCTTATTTTGTAAGACAGAGCCAAGTTTATCTTTCCTGCAGAGAAGGCTTTAGAGTAAGCAATATTTCATTGCACCCCTTCGATGGCTTATCTAACTAATAACTATCAGGGAGGAATCTGGCTGTCTTCTTTCAGAAATAAAAATTTATGAAATACAAGGGAGACTTTGGAAACTCCTAGCCGCTGCATACAGCACATTTTCTTCATATGCAATCACTGGGTCTGCGTGTTTTCCCCGTTTAGCATTTATATGCATTAAACCACAGCTAACATTCATTATAGCCACCACCCTGGAACCCTCCCCCTTAAAACCATTCATTTAACTGAACGTATGCTCATCAGGAAGTGGCATTTTCCTATCAAGGGTACTAAATTATTTAGCAGCTTTACTGCGCTATCGGAGTATTTGATAAGAAATGCTTTAAGAGTTGAGCAGGCGGCATAGATTCAATTCTTGTGACTCCGTGCCAGTGGTCTTTTCCCTTGGCGGGTCTTTGTGAAACCCAGCGAAGACGGGAACAAGTGGTGATGCTCAGTGGTCTAATCTGGAACTGAGAGGGCTTGGGGAGGAAGAGAACAGGTAGTGGCTGGGTTGCATTCACAAATGCTGCCCACCTCTGGCCCAAGGGCACAGGGAACCATTCCTGGAGAGACTGCCAGGAAGGAGGGAAATGCCCTTTGGTCCCCTATCACCCCTTCCTATCTGAGAGCGAAGCCTCCTCACAGCTAAATTTGGCAAGCCCTTTTCTTCCTCAAGCCAGCTTAAAGCCCCCACTACTGTGCTTCCAGGGATCTGTAATTAGGGTTCCAGTCTGAGGGGGCTGCCATCTAAGCTGAGGAGGGACTTAAAGCTCCCCTACTCAACTTCTCCTGGTGTAAGGGCAGGCAAGAAGGCAGTGGAGAACCGGGACAGGCCCTTTCAGGGGTCTGGAACCCAAGGCTGATGTTGTTTAGGAAGACAGATAGGTCAGAATCTGGTTTCTGGAAACTTGAAACTGGCGGGTTTTGACCATCGGAGCGATGGCTAATTTAGTTACCTCTGCCTATGGGTGGCTATTCCTGCCACTTTGCAGCCCAGCCAGAGGGAGGTGAATCCTAAACCCTTTCTGTCTTTTTTCCAGAGGACAGATTGCTCACCTTTATGCTCCTCTCAGCTCAGCCCATCTGCTCTCCATTGGTTGACATTTCTTGAGGAAGCTGTACTGCCCTTTACTGGCCCCTCCCACAACCCACCCTCCATCTCCAATCCCACTCTACCCTAGTCTGAAGCCTTTCAGCCACTTCTCAAGAAACCAGAATGCAACCAGGGTAGGGGCCCCAGAACATTTGGGTGGTCTCTCCCTTGCCCTGTGCCTCAACTTCACTCAGTTGCACCGTAAACTCCACCGTTCTTTCTCCTTCACTCCTCTCCAGGAAGAAGATTCCTGGGGCAGAAAAGCAGGGGAAGCAGTTTTGTGGAGCTTAGGGTATGTCTGGCAAGAGTAAAGAGCTCTTGACTCCTTCCTAAAAATGTCCCCGGTTAGGGACAGCCAAGACAGGAGAGGGAGGGCTGGTAAAAGGCCTATGGCACCTTATGATCCTGTTTGCTCAGTTCAACTGGCCACAAATAGGCCAGCAGAGTGTCCTGTATGCGGAACAGTTTCAAGATGGTCTCTGTCCTGCTTCCCTTTCCACCTAGCTCTTCCCTCCTTACCTTTAAGGGCAGGTTCTTAGTGCCTGAAATAGCAAGGGAAGAGGATGGGGGGTGTAATTTACTAAACGTGGGGTGGGAGAACACTTCTGTTCCTTATGCCCAAGGCAATGGCAACTTGTAGAGGACAGAGGGGCACACTTTTGCTATGGAGGCTCTGACATAGGCACATGCCAGAAATCACAGAGGGCACACTTAAAAACAAGCAAGCCCTCTAACTACTCAGTAATACAAAGATTTTCTTTGCCTGGGTCTTTGTCTGGTCTGACATTCTTTGCCCTCCATGTCTGAAAGACTTTAAGACAGTCTCTGTTTCTCTTTTGTAGCCCTGGTCTTCTTCACTCAAGAGCCACTTAGGAAGGAGGCATGGGAGGGGAGCTACACTAAAGGAGTAGTCTCTTCTAGCCGGAATCTGAGGGTCTCTGCAGACTCTGAGTCAGGGACTGTCTTCCTGTGGCTTCCACTGGGGAGCTACCAGATACATACCTATATTGATCTGCTTTGGGATCCAATTGGCCTGGAGCATACTTACAAAATGGTACTGAGCTAGGGATCTAGAAATGGAAGAGTTCCTACTTAGCATGCACAAAACTCTGGGTTCAGTCCCTAGCACTGAATAAACAGGGTGTAGTGGCACAGGCCTATAATCTCCCTTGATTAAGGTATTCAAGGTCATCTTCAGCTACTTAGCCAGTTGGAAGCCAGCTTGGGCTAGAGACTCTGTATCCATGGACAAACAGGAACGAGGTACAGTCACAGTGTACTACTGTGTATTACTCATGTTTTTTTTTGTTTGTTTGGTTTTTTTTTTTGAGACAGGGTTTCTCTGTGTAGTCTTGGCTGTCCTGGAACTTGCTCTGTAGATCAGGTTGGCCTCAAACTCAAGAGAGCTGCCTGCCTCCACTTCCCACTGCTGGGATTAAAAGCCTCACTACCACCAGGCCTACTCATGTCTTTTTTTTTTTTTTTTTTTTTTTTGGATTTTTCAAGACAGGGTTTCTCCGTAGCTTTTGGTTCCTGTCCTGGAACTAGCTCTTGTAGACCAGGCTGGCCTCGAACTCACAGAGATCCGCCTGCCTCTGCCTCCCGAGTGCTGGGATTAAAGGCGTGCGCCACCACCGCCCGGCTTTACTCATGTCTTTTTTATTGAATGGCAGCTTTTCTGTTTACAGAAGATCTTAAGTCTTCACGGAAGACCTCCAACATATCAGCATAGGACGCTTTATGCTCAAATTTGTCATTCCTCATTGCAGTTCTTGTGTCCTGCCCAGAAGGCTGGTCACTGTGTGGAGACTCATCCTGTATTTCATCTAGCAGGGCCTGCCACGCAGTGGGCAGTCAAGGAACGGTCTATGAAGGGAAGAGAATGTAAAGTGATTGCGTATCTTCATGGGTCTGGGTGCAATTAAATTTATATCATTAAGGTCTGTATGTTTTGAGTCTAAGCATTTAATGTTAGAACCGAGTGAAGGGTCTCTCGTCTGCATTTGTTCTTCAGTTTCCGGGTCTGAGTCACTCCATCTTAGAACAGTAAAGCTATTAATATTGAGGAACGTGTAGTAGAGGAATTCTAACCGCTTGCCCCCTTTTGCCTGCCCAGGAAAGGGGGTACGGTCTTGATTTGTGGTACAACCATAGCGATCCCTAATTATACCTAAATAAAGATAAAGATCGCACTTGGCCGCACATTTACACAGGCAGGCCTCTCAGATCCTGGCTGCTCAGAGTTGGAAGATGTGTGCCTGGCTCCTCCACATTGTGGAAAACCCTGTTTGGAATCCCTGTCTGTGCTTGCTCGAGTACCTGAGGTTTGAGAGGCTTATCCTTTACTCCTTTCACAAATCAGCCAGCCATCAGGAGCCACGAGTACTTTACGCGCTTCCTTCCTAAACCAACCTCGCACAAAGCTCGAGGCATTATTTTGTGCTTAGGGGTCCCTGGAAGCTTGAAACGCAACCAACGGCCCTCGCCAGAGGCGGTCACGTGCCCCTGCGCGCTCCCGCGCCTCGCGCCGCGCGGGCCTGGTCTCCGGCGCACGCGCGTTAGGCCGGCTGCGCTCCCGCCCAGGTTTCGCGGGCCTGCGTCTCCAACCTAGCAACGCCTGTGGTGACGCGAAGCCCCGCCCCTCCGGCGCGCGCCTCCCGGAAGTTGCCTATCCGGGAGCTGAGCGCCGGCCCCGAAGGTTTCTGCTTGTCGTGTGGAGTAGTGTCCGGCGGGAGCGCCCGGGCAGAAACGTCGGGCTGGGGCTCGGGGCTGCACGTTCACCAGCGCAGCGACGACTGTGACCTGGTGACCATGGCGGGGTCGCAGCCCTTGGCTCTGCAGCTGGAACAGTTGTTGAATCCGAGACCGCGTGAGGCGGATCCTGAGGCCGACCCGGAGGAGGGTGAGGCCTGACTGGGGCCGACCACGTG